TATCCTGAAGCAAATGTCACATAGCAGCCTGAGGTGACGGAGGAACAGTCGCTTCACCAAGTGCCGCTTCACCACCTTCACTGCGCGGTTTAAGTTTTCTTTCAACGATGAAATTATGGGAACACAATAAAGGAATCTTTCTATGGTGGACGTGTTTCTGTTGGGAGGAGTTTATTGAGTCATGAGGAACCAAGCAGGAAGTGACATCAGAGCTGTGCTCTCTAACCCCGAAATCCCACATCCTCCGTCACCAGCGTTCCTTGGTCTGATTAATATTTTTAGGATTTGGGTAAAAAAAATGGAAGAAAGTTCAGATACCTGCATCAGAGCGCCACCTGTTTGATCTGTGGACGGTTTTCCATCCTTGCAACAAAACTAGCAGCAGTAGTGGAGTTTGGAAATGCAATCCACTTCTTAAATCTCTCTTTGCGCTCCTCTAATTTATTCTGCAATCGCGCTTTTTCTCTCCCTCCCAGCTTGGTGGTGGGCTGCAGATTTAGCCTTCCCTGGAAATGCCTTTCCAAATGTTTCTTTTTATTTTTGACACCCTCTCATTACAAAGCGAAAATGCAGGCAAACGTTCAGCCTTGATAATGAAGGCAAATGAGTCGGCCTATTTGAATCCTCTTTTCTTATCAGCAATCTTGCTTTTTTTCCCTTTGGGATTCATATTCTGAGACACACCTGCAGCTTTGTTAGCCTGGCACCGCGCTGCGCTGGTTCTAAGTTATGATCACTGATCTCTATGGCTTTGACGCCAATTATTGTTTAAATTTATTTATAATACAAATGTTTAAAGCATTGGAAAACAAATTTTTGTTTGCAACCTGCACACCATATTAAAACAAAGAAACAAATAGATTTTCATAAATTTTGAAAAAGCTCCAGGGAGCCACAAGGGGGAGCTAAAGAGCCGCAGGTTGTGGACCCCTGTCATAACCCCTCCCCCATTTACCTGCTTGGCCATGTCGTTCAGGTGTTTCTCTTCCAACTCTCTCTGGATTCGTTTTTTGGCTTCCTCCACAGCTTTGTGTTGCTCTTTGTCAGCTTCCTGTTTCTGGGCAGCGAGCCGGGCGTCCAGCTCCTCAGCAGAAACGGCGTGACCGTTAGCCTCCAGCTCTTCTGTTTGGCACATCGCCTCAGCAGTGTCTGAGTTTCTCTCCCTCTTAGCCTCCTCCAACTTCTGAGCCCAGGTCGTCTCTATCTGCACCCCAGAGGTAAAAGGTATCAAATTTAGTCAGACGAGGTAAAATAAATCAGCTGGGTAGCATTCGTTTGAGAAGTCAGACCTTTTGAAGTTCCTTCTTCCATTTGGCGTCTGTGGAAGCTACGTGAGAGCTCACTTCCCGCTGGATTTCAGCCTCTTTCTCCTTGGACCATTCTTCTTTAAGCTTCATCACTGAGACCTGATGCTGAGCCTCCAGTTCTCCTCTCAGCTTTCCAGCAGTCCTACTGCTCTCTTCTTTCTCTCTCTTCTTTATCGTTTCCTCCAGGAGACACTTCTCGTTGCACACAGAGATGTAACATTCCTGCACGGCCAGCATCTTATCACTGACTTCTGACAGCTGGTTTCTGTAAAGGAAGATAAAAGTGATGCATAAATGAAGTGATAATGAGAAGAGCTTCCAGGATCAGGATGTGAGACTTACTGCAGCTCCTGAATCTGCTGCTGGTGCTGCGCAGTCAGCCGCTCCAGCTCAGCGCTGTGCTCCGTCATCAGCTCTGTTCTGACCCGCTTCACCACATCATCTCTATACTGCTGATTAATCCGCTCAGTCCTATAAAAAAAAAATGCAAATGATCCACCATGAATATATTATTCAAAGAACTATGATGTAATCAGGGTTTCTGTGAGGCTGACCTTTCAGCAGCTTCCTGTTTTTCTTGGTCCAGTTCTTGGATCATTTCCCTCATTTTGGTGCACAGTTCAGAGTTGGCACATTTCAGCTTTTCCTCATTCTGTTTTAACTCCTTATTCTTTGTTTCGAGTAACTTCATGTTGAAAAGATAAAAAATGAAGTATTTTATTTAATTACAAAAAAGAAAACTATACACACACACCTACATATATATAAAAAACTCCACCCAACCTGGACTTTTTCCAGCAGGTGTTGTTTCTCCTCCTGCATCCTCAGCATCTCTTCCTGTGCGCCTTCGGTCATGTCCAGGTGTGTCATCGGGTCGGTTTCTTTGGCCTGTGGAGGTCCAGTAAAAGATTTTGCAATGCCTTAAAAACTGTTGATAAAGCGTTTATCTTGGGTTGCTACAGAATAAACCAACAGAAACGTTTCAACATTTATAATTTTCACGTTTCAAATGTTTCTACAAAGAGTAAAATATAGTTTATATTCAGTGTTGTGTACTAGAGAC